TCTCTCTCTCTCTCTCTCTCTCTCTCTCTCTCTCTCTCTCTCTCTCTCTCTCTCTCTCTCTCTCTCTCTCTCTCTCTCTCTCTCTCTCTCTCTCTCTATATCACTCTCTCTTTCTCACTCTCTCTTTCTGACTATCTCTCTCTTTCTCACTCTCTCTTTCTGACTATCTCTCTCTTTCTCACTCTCTTTTTCTGACTATCTCTCTCTTTCTCACTCTCTTTTCTGACTATCTCTCTCTTTCTCACTCTCTTTTTCTGACTATCTCAATCTCTCTTTCTAACTATCTCTCTCTATCTCACTCTCTCTTTCTGACTATCTCTCTTTTTCTCACTCTCTTTTTCTGACTATCTCAATCTCTCTTTCTAACTACCTCTCTCTATCTCACTCTCTCTTTCTGACTATCTCTCTCTTTCTCACTCTCTTTTTCTGACTATCTCTCTCTATCTCAATCTCTCTTTCTAACTATCTCTCTCTATCTCACTCTCTCTTTCTGACTATCTCTCTTTTTCTGACTATCTCTCTCTTTCTGACTATCTCTCTCTTTCTAACTATCTCTTTCTGACTATCTCTCTTTTTCTCACTCTCTTTTTCTGACTATCTCTCTCTTTCTCACTCTCTTTTTCTGACTATCTCAATCTCTCTTTCTAACTATCTCTCTCTATCTCACTCTCTCTTTCTGACTATCTCTCTTTTTCTCACTCTCTTTTTCTGACTATCTCAATCTCTCTTTCTAACTACCTCTCTCTATCTCACTCTCTCTTTCTGACTATCTCTCTCTTTCTCACTCTCTTTTTCTGACTATCTCTCTCTATCTCAATCTCTCTTTCTAACTATCTCTCTCTATCTCACTCTCTCTTTCTGACTATCTCTCTTTTTCTGACTATCTCTCTCTTTCTGACTATCTCTCTCTTTCTCACTCTCTTTTTCTGACTATCTCTCTCTATCTCACACTCTCTTTCTCACTCTCTTTTTCTTAGTATCTCTCTCTATCTCACTCTCTTTTTCTGACTATCTCTCTCTCTCTCTCTCTCACACACACTATCTCTTTCTCTCTCTTTTTCTCACAATCGCTTACCAAATGTATTTGTATTCGAAACTCTTGGCGACGACGGGATCCTTGCGACCGTCGAACCAGAACTGACAGTAGGTGATGACGGTCGGTTCGATGCGATCGATCATGCCCAATATCCGCACCGTCGGTCCCAGCCGATTGTTCGGCCGTTTGTCCAAGTAGGCGCCGAACAATTGAAAGGTGCCGTTCGTGGTGCGCAACGTCTGCCAGTAGATGTTGTTGAATTCCAGATCGAACATCGACGGAAACCTGGATGGTGATGGAGAAAAAGGAATAGTTATCGGAAAAAATCGTGTGGCGTGTTTCGTCGGGAGAAATGAGTGATGATAGAAGAAAGATAGGTGTCATGAGAGATGAGATGAGAGACGACAGAAGAGAGAGATGAGAAATGAGTGAAGAGAGTCATGAGGGATCAGATGTGAGTGAGGATAGATAAGAGTGGTGAGAGATGACAGAGGAGAGATAAGAGTCATGAGAGATGAGATGAGAGAGGTGACAGGAGAGAGATCGATAAGAGTCGCGAGAGTGAGGATAGATGAGAGTGGTGAGAGATGACAGAGGAGAGATAAGAGTCATGAGAGATGAGATGAAAGAGGCGACAGGAGAGAGATGAGAGAGACGACAGGAGAGAGAGAGAGGTGAGAAATTAGTGAAGAGAGTCATGAGGGATCAGATGTGAGTGAGGATAGATAAGAGTGGTGAGAGATGACAGAGGAGAGATAAGAGTCATGAGAGACGAGATGAGAGAGGTGACAGGAGAGAGATCGATAAGTGTCGCGAGAATGAGGATAGATGAGAGTGGTGAGGAATGACAGAGGAGAGATAAGAGTCATGAGAGATGAGTTGAGAGAGGTGACAGGAGAGAGATAGATAAGAGTCACGAGATTGAGGATAGATGAGAGTGGTGAGGAATGACAGAGGAGAGATAAGAGTCATGAGAGATGAGTTGAGAGAGGTGACAGGAGAGAGATAGATAAGAGTCACGAGAGTGAGGATAGATGAGAGTGGTGAGAGATGACAGAGGAGAGATAAGAGTCATGAGAGATGAGATGAAAGAGGCGACTGCAGTGAGATGAGATAGGCGACAGGAGAGAAAGAGAGGTTAGAAATGAGATAAGAGAGTCATGAGAGATGAGATGTGAGTGAGGATAGATGAGAGTGGTGAGAAATGACAGAGGAGAGATAAGAGTCATGAGAGATGAGATGAGAGAGGTGACAGGAGAGAAAGAGAGGTTAGAAATGAGCGAAGAGAGTCATGAGAGATGAGAGATGAAATGTGAGTGAGGATAGATGAGAGTGGTGAGAAATGACAGAGGAGAGATAAGAGTCATGAGAGATGAGATGAAAGAGGCAACAGGAGAGAGAAGAGAGAGACGACAGGAGAGAGAGTGAGAGAGGGTGAGAAATGAGTGAAGAGAGTCATGAGAGATGAGAGATGAAATGTGAGTGAGGATAGATGAGAGTGGCTAGAAATGACAGAGGAGAGATAAGAGTCATGAGAGATGAGATGAAAGAGGTGACAGGAGATAGATGAAAGAGACGACAGGAGAGATGGGATTCTTGACAGATGAGTCAAGAGAGATTAGAGTCGGAAGAGAGGTAAGAAATGAGTGAAGAGAGTCATGAGAGATGAGATGAGAGTGAGGATAGATTAGAGAGGTGAGAGATGACAGGAGAGAGATAAGATTCATGATAGATGAAATGAGAGAGATGAGAGGAGAAGGAGATAAGAGTCAGGAGATATGACAGATGAGAGATGAAAGGTAAGAGATGAGAGATTGATTGAAGTTTATTTAGCTTTCTCAGCTATTATGTTACATAGATTTACAAAAATTAATAAAGATGATATGTGAGAGATTACAGATGAGAGATTACAGATGAGAGATTGCAGATGAGAGGTGACTAATGAAAGGTGACAGGTGAAAGATGACAGGTGAAAGATGACAGATAAGAGCTCGGCTACCAAAGCTATTTCGTCCTATGCAGATGACAGATACAGTCAAGTGAAAGATGAGAGGTGACAAGTGACAGTCGTGTGACGTTTTACCTTGCGCAAGTGTTGTTGTGTCCCATCGGTTTGTTCTTGTTTTTGTTCCAATAGACGATGGGCAAGTTGGGCATTCTCTTTTGTATGTCCTCGATGAGATTATCTTCTGTTAACATGGGGCTCTTGTCGACGAAGGGCTCCGCGTCGAAGCTCAAACTCTCGGTTGTGCTATCCGTATGCCTCGTTAGAGGATCCATACGTTTTTGTAGAAGAAATCTGAAACAGAAGATTTATATTAGCTTATGTAGCAGATAGGTAGAGGCCAGCTAAGAAGATTCTTTCAATTTGACAGTTTTACATTGGTTGTTATGGAGTAACTAAGGAGATTCTTACAATTGACAGTTTTACATTGGTTGTTATGAAGTAACTAATGAAATTCTTTCAATTTACAGTTTTACATTGGTTGTTATGGAGTAATTAAGGAGATTCTTTCGAATTGACAGTTTTACATTGGTTGTCATGGAGTAACTAAGGAGATTCTTTCGAATTGACAGTTTTACATTGGTTGTTATGGAGTAACTAAGGAGATTCTTTCAACTTGACAATTTTACATTGGTTGTCATGGAGTAACTAAGGAGATTCTTTCTTTTGACAGTTTTACATTAGTTGTTATGGAGTAACTAAGGACGCATTGTTTAAATTGACAGTTTAACATTGGTTGTTATGGCGTAACTAAGGAGATTCTTTCTTTTGACAGTTTTACATTAGTTGTTATGGAGTAACTAAGGAGATTCTTTCGAATTGACAGTTTAACATTGGTTGTTATGGAGTAACTAAGGAGATTCTTTCAACTTGACAGTTTTACATTGGTTGTTATGGAGTAACTAAGGAGATTCTTTCAATTTGACAGTTTTACATTGGTTGTTATGGAGTAACTAAGGAGATTCTTTCTTTTGACAGTTTTACATTAGTTGTTATGGAGTAACTAAGGAGATTCTTTCGAATTGACAGTTTAACATTGGTTGTTATGGAGTAACTAAGGAGATTCTTTCAACTTGACAATTTTACATTGGTTGTTATGGAGTAACTAAGGAGATTCTTTCAACTTGACAATTTTACATTGGTTGTTATGGAGTAACTAAGGAGATTCTTTCTTTTGACAGTTTTACATTAGTTGTTATGGAGTAACTAAGGACGCATTGTTTAAATTGACAGTTTAACATTGGTTGTTATGGAGTAACTAAGGAGATTCTTTCTTTTGACAGTTTTACATTAGTTGTTATGGAGTAACTAAGGACGCATTGTTTAAATTGACAGTTTAACATTGGTTGTTATGGAGTAACTAAGGAGATTCTTTCGAATTGACAGTTTAACATTGGTTGTTATGGAGTAACTAAGGAGATTTAAAAATTCCAACGCCTGCTACTAACCTGCTATTCAAATGCGGCACCGGCACGTCGATGGTGATGGACCTGAATTGGTACAAAGTGTACACGGTGAGGGCCCACAAAATGCCGAACGAGAGAATTTTGGTGATGTAACGGCCTCTGCCGTTTCGGACACACAGCCCAAGCAAAGCCATCTCGATGTTTTAGAATCTTCTCGCCTACTCGACCAACTGTAATGTAAATAATAAAACGTTATGATAGTATTTATTATTTGTTTAAAACAATTATGTATTAGTTTTTACGCTTTATTTAGCCTCGAGTTAGAATAAAAATATATGTTCGAATTATCTATCAATATTATGTTACATTGTTTTGTTTACAAAACGTTATTTGTGTTATTTGCATTTACCTTTACTATTTAACGTTAACGGGTCAATGTTACGTTTCGATATATTCGTTAAAAGTTAATTGAAATTCGCGACGCACGTTTGTTTATATAATTTGTTTAATTTTAGTCGAAAGCGACACGTAATTTGTTATACAGGGTGTATTTAAAAGCCACCGAAAAAATTTAACGTGAGCATGGGGTACATTTATTTTTTTTCTCAAAAATGCTTGAGTTTTTAGAAAAACTTGTAGAGATAAAAAAGTTGGTAAATGAATCGGGCTTTTCGGCCATATTTTTTTAAAAGAAAAATTTCCATCCAAAAAAAAGTTGTAAGAAAAAATGTATTAGGGGTTGACTATTTCAGCCCCTTCTAAGCATGCTTTAGGGTTGAAAAAATTTCAAAATGTGTAGTTTCATTGAAAAATAATATTCCCCGAGTTTCGCGACTTTAGCTTAATATACAGGGAAAATAAAGAAGAAAAACCTTGTTTTTTGTTCAATAAAATGCTATTTAACGTGGACTTGCAGCATTATAATTTTTTTTATCTCAAAAATGCTTGAGTTTTTGAAAAAACTTGTGGAGATAAAAAAGTTAGTAAATGAATCGGGCTTTTCGGCCATATTTTTTTAAAAGAAAAATTTCCATCCAAAAAATAATTGTAAGAAAAAATGTCTTAGGGGTTGAATATTTCAACCCCTTCTAAGCATGCTTTAGGGTTGAAAAAATTTAAAAATGTGTAGTTTCATTGACAAATAATATTCCCCGAGTTTCGCAACTTTAGCTTAATATACAGGGAAAATAAAGAAGAAAAACCATTTTTTTTAATCTTCTGAGGGGTATAACTTTTACGGGGAGGGTTTTTTCGAAAAAATTTATACCAAGTACCCACTTTAATTTTCATCACAGAATCACCCTTTAAATTTTTTCGGTGTTATTTAGATACACCCTGTATAAACTTTCGTGGGACACACTGTATACAATTAATTAAAAACAACACAAAATTGACATTTTTTAATTGTACATATTTTGTACATTTTGCTAAATGAGAAAACGAATTTATTTATTCATTACATATTGATTCACAATTCACACTGTAGACACTTCCGCTATTTATATACAGAGTGTCCCATATATATTACATATACAGGTAAATTGACAGATTGTCATTAAATACGTATTTCTATAGCACACTAACAAATACTTTGTACAAGAAGGAATTAGTATATAAAACATTAATTTTCTAAATGAACTAAATAAACTCCATTCGGGGACACACTGTATATATTAAATGGGTCGCAATTCAAGGATATCTGGATATCGTCTAATTATTATTGGCACGCCTAAGGTCGCGCCCGACCGGTTTAATTCGGCTTGCATTTTGCAATCTATATAACAGAATAATTATTTAGATTAAAAACGTTGATAAATAAATTATAAGTTATATACAGTGAGGACCAAAAGTCCGTCGCCTCACCCTATAACTTTTGAGAGGTAAGAGCTTTTGTCGCGTAATTTGGGGTGTTTATATTGGAGTAAAAATACTATTTTTTGACGTAAAAATGACAGTTGAAACTTTCAAAATGACAGTTAGGCGCCATTTTGAATCTTTTTTTCTTATGGAAAGGGGGGTCAAGTGATACCTCGTTTTAAAGGTAATTTCATTCTTAAGTCAACCCCCAAATTTGAAAACATTTTAATAACGCGTATTCACGTGAAGACCAATTTAGTTTTAACCCCCGGGCATATTGATATACATTTAAAAATTAATTCTGAACGTACTATAAAATGTGTCAATTAATTGTTGCTATGGTTTCTTGACTCTGACATTTATTTGTCAAATTTAAAGTTGATGAAATTGACAATGGCTCGTCCTTTAAACGAAAAAACTGTCAATTTCATCAACTTTAAATTTGACAAATAATACGCGTTATTAAAATGTTTTCAAATTTGGGAGTTGACTTAAGAATGAAATTACCTTTAAAACAAGGTGTCACTTGACCCCTTTCCATAAGAAAAAAGATTCAAAATGGCGCCTAACTGTCATTTTGAAAGTTACAACTGTCATTTTTACGTCAAAAAATAGCATTTTTACTCCAATATAAACACCACAAATTGCGCAACAAAAGCTCTTACCATTCAAAAGTTAAAGGGGAGGCGACGAACTTTTGGTCCTCACTGTATACAGTGTGTCTTATTTAGAACGCTCCCGAATTACTTAGATTTATCTAAAATAATTTAGAACCATTTTGAACTAACCACAGAATCATTTAGAACTGTCTAAAACCATTTAGAACGCTCCAGAATCATTTAGGATTGTCCATAACCATTTAGAACGATCCAGAAGCATTTAGGACTATCTAGAACCATTTAGAACGCTTCAGAACCATTTTGAACGCATCAGAATCATTTTTAGACCTGTCTAGAACCAGTTAGAACTGCCTAGAACCGTATAATGAATAAATAAATAGACTAGTGTGAAGTTGAAACATGCATGAACTTTGCTACATAACCTCACTTTCCTGTTATCGATATATTTCGGTTCGCTTTAAGGTCGAATCGATAATAATAATAAATAATGAATAATGAATAGTTTATTTACCAGTAAATTTTTAAAAACGTTTATTATCGCTGCATATAAACAATGAAATTGAGATATTAACGATTGTTTTTATGAATATTCATGCGATGCAATTTATTTTTTATGACTGTTTTAATAACAGCGTGAATAATATAATTATTGAGATTTAGGTCGAAATTTCACTGGGCTATAAAATTGTAATTTTATTAGTACAGGCAATTTCTCAAAGTTATGTTGTAATTTCACCGGGCTATAATATTGTAATCATAATAGTACAGAAAATTTTGTACATTTTTTAGCAACTTTTCCTAGAGATTTGAATCGTGTTCGGAACAAATTGGTTTTGAGGTCAGAATTTCACTGGGCTATAAAATTCTAATTTCAATAGTACAGGCAATTTTGTACATATTTCTCAGGATTTTTCGTAAATATTTGAATTTTGTTATCGTATAATAACAGCGCGTTTCACTTAGATTTATGTCGTAATTTCACCGGGCTATAAGATTTTAATTATGATAGTACAGGAGATTTTGTACATTTTTCAGCAACTTTTCCTAGAAATTTGAATCGTGTTCGGAACAAATTGGTTTTGAGGTCAGTATTTCACTGGGCTATATAATTGTAATTTTAATAGTACAGGAAATTTTCTGTATATACGAGTATTTTAAATAAATTACCATAATTACGAGGATTAATTAATAATAAAATCGAGATATTTTTATAGTAGTTTCTTTGTTGATTTTTCTAATTACCTCGACCTTAATTTCGGATTTCCAAACGTTTATGCCACGCGCGAATTTCTATTAGAATAAAATATCCCAATTTCCCCGGACTATAATCGAATCATTTTATAGTCCGGTCGAATAGATACAAAAAGAAAATACCAACAGTGCATTATACATAATGCACATAATAAAATTTTACAAGAAATAACTATAGAGAATATAGCGGTTTGATAAACTTGTAGAGTAGAATAGAGTAGAAGAGATTCAGGGTAGAGTAATATAGAGTAGATTCAGAGTGGATTCGTAGTAAATTAAGAGCAGATTCGGAGTAGATTAAAAGCAGATTTAGAGGAGATTCCCAGCAAATTCAGAGTAGATTAAGAGCACATTCAGAGTAGATTAAGGGTAAATTCAGAGTAGATTCAGATCAGATTCAGAATAGATTAAAAGCAGATTTAGAACAGATTCAGAGCAGATTCAGAGTAGATTAAAAGCAGATTTAGAGGAGATTCCCAGCAAATTCAGAGTAGATTAAGAGCAGATTCAGAGTAGATTAAGGGCAAATTCAGAGTAGATTCAGATCAGATTAAGAGCAGATTTAGAATAGATTAAAAACATATTTAGAACAGATTCAGAGCAGATTCAGAGTAGATTAAAAGCAGATTTAGAGGAGATTCCCAGCAAATTCAGAGTAGATTAAGAACAAATTCAGAGTAGATTCAGAGTAGATTCAGAGTAGATTAAAAACATATTTAGAACAGATTCAGAGCAGATTCAGAGTAGATTAAAAGCAGATTTAGAGGAGATTCCCAGCAAATTCAGAGTAGATTAAGAACAAATTCAGAGTAGATTCAGAGTAGATTAAAAACAGATTCAGAGCAGATTTAGAGGATATTCCCAGCAATTTCAGAGTAGATTAAAAGCAGAATAAGAGCAGATTCAGAGTAGATTAAGAACAAATTCAGAGTAGATTCAGAGTAGATTAAAAACAGATTTAGAACAGATTCAGAGCAGATTCAGAGTAGATTAAAAGCAGATTTAGAGGAGATTCCCAGCAAATTCAGAGTAGATTAAGAACAAATTCAGAGCAGATTCAGAGTAGATTAAGAACAAATTCAGAGTAGATTCAGAGTAGTTTAAAAACAGATTCAGAGTAGATTCACAGTAACTTAAGAGAATATTCCAATTTCCCCGGACTATCGAATCAATTTATAGTCCGGTCAAATCGACACAAAAAAAAAACAAAACCAAATCCTCTATCCGCGTGCATTATAATGCAATTTTACAATTTTACACGAATATAACTCATCGAGAATACAAATTATAGCGGTTTGATAAACTTGTTACGAGTTCAGTACACTCTCCTCCGCTTCTTCTTCTTCTACTTCTTATTCTTCCTCTCCTTCTTTCATTGCGCCATTTTGCATAGTAATTTACCATCTATTAAAATACATTAAACTCTACCTACTCGATAGTACAGGTAGATGAATTTCCGAAGATCCGTTACAGCGCGATCGGTTTATTATTATTATTTATTT